TATATATATTAATTATATATATATAAAAATTCTATTTCCAAAGTTCTTGAGAGCTATCTTCTAATGTCCAGTCTCTGACAGTAGGTAAGCTCAGTGCTTCACTTTTGACAGACAATGAGTTCACTAGCTCACAGTGAAACTTCCGAATATGCCTGTAAAGGTCTCCAGACTGTGTGAACCTCCGCTCACACCACTTACAAGCGTGCGGCTTCTCCCGTGTGTGAACTACGGCATGGCGGCTCAGATTGTGGGAGTACTGGAAGCTCTTTCCACACTGGGTACAAGTGTATGGTTTTTCACCTGAATGAGTCCTCTCATGACGTTTCAAAGTGTACATGCAAGAAAAAGTCTTACCACACAAGGAGCAGGTTGGGACATTGACATCAGCGGCAGGCTTACTGCGGATCCCGTCCTGCTCTCGAAAGTGCGTACTTAAGTGAATCTGCAGAATGTGGGGACTAGGAAAGACTTTGTTGCAGAGGGGGCACATAAAAATTTGACCTGCAGGATTAAGTATGTTGGAGACATAAGGGAGCAGACTGCTGTCCATGCTCCCTTCCACCTGAACTCTCTCGTTCTCTGGAGTTATAATTTCATCATCACTGGCTTTGTCCTCTCTATCTAGCTCCCTCAAAACAGAATCGTCTCTCATAGGAGCCAGATGGGCTGGCTCATATGGTACCCTGTTATTAGTGCTCACACTTTCTTTCACAGTGCTATGCTCCATGTCATAGTCATTAGTGCCAACATCACTCTCATCACAGGATGTCTCTTTTTCCACCTTCACCTGCACCAGGTTGTTTCGCATCATATCCTGTGAAGAGAAATATGAATTGTTCAAATTCTCAACTCCAGAAAGGCTTGACTTGACAGACAAGTCCAGGACACAGTCAACATCTGCTGAATCCCTCACTGAAGTGACAGACCTCTGGGACAAAGACTCTGTTGAGCTGCAGGGGCTAGCTACTGTTTTTCCAGCTGCTGTTGCATGCGCATCTGCCTCCCCACCGCTCTGGGGAATCACTCCGGAGTCCGAGGGCAATCTCATCCACATGTTCCCAGGTTCAGCCGTCAAGTCCCTTTTGCTAGGCAAGATGCTCAATTTTTCATCTTCCCCTTCATCTTCGTCACTGGGTATGTCTCCTGCAATGTGGCTACTACCGTCAGAAAGACTCTCCACTTTGTCCGAACAACTTGAGGCATCTTCTTCCTTTTTAGTACTGTCTGCCTCGGTGGTGGCTTTTTCTTTCAGCTTCTTTTTGCAAACTTTGACAATGTCGTACATGTGGAGATAACTGGCAGCTGCTAGCACATCTTCAATGGGCAAATCTTTGAATTGGAGTTTCCCTTCATACATGAATTCAAGCAGGAGAGCGAAAGCTGGGGCTGTAACAATGTCGCTGTTCAGATGAACAATGTCTCTTTTGTCCAGCTGGTCCTTGTAAAATAGGTGGAAATACATGCTGCATGAAGCCAGTACAGCTCTATGTGCTCGGAATTGGGCATCTCCTACCAGAACAGTGCAGTCACAAAGAAAACCCTGATGCCTCTGTTCACTCAGGCACTGTAGTAAATGCCTGCTATGGTCAGGAAACTCCATGCTGTCTTCATAACCTAGGAGCAAAAAGATTTAATTAAACACTGGAAATATTCCTTGGCTTATACACTACTACATTTGATAATTCAGCAATGTCTACAAAGACCTGAAATAATGCCCTATACAGAAATGGAAATTGATAAATTAGTCAAGATTTCATGGCTTTCTGTTAACTACCTTTTGCAACTTTCAGAGTTCTATTAACTGTTTTGTTAACTGTAAAGAAACAGATTGGGAGGTGCATATGAGAATGAATATTCTGATTTATTAATTTGAAAGTTACAAGAGCTTTTACTATTTGAATTCAAAAGCAAACAAATCTGATATAACTTGCTTAATCCTAGATGAGGGGTAAAAACTAACCTTAACTGATTAAGATGATAATGGCTTCTAAAATATCTTGGCACAGATCATCGTTGGCCTCATCTGTGAATGCTAGCTTTTCAATTTTCTTTCTCTAACAAAATAACTGATTACCAGCCTCCCCCCCTTTAAAAATACACAAAAATGCAAACTCTAAAATTAAGAATCCTCCTTCTATTAAGACTGTTCTAGGTTATTGTTGCATATCAGTGGAAACAATTTCAGCATAATTCAGTAATCTTTTCTCCCTTTGGGGCATTGTATAACCATTCAAAATGAGCATTAGACTTTTCTATATAAATATCTTCATCTTCTTTATTTTCTACTACTTACAACTGAAGTTGTGCTAAACTAGTTATATACAGCTGCTTCATCTTTGGGCGTGATATGTTCTTAAAGTTACAATCTTGCCCAAAGTATATTCTACTGCTAGAATAAAGCAAGAAGATTTACAATACAATCACTTTAAGTGCCCCACAGCCAACATCAATCCTAATCCTTAAGAGGGCTAAAAATAAAGATTGGAGGGCAGCTCACAAGGTAGCTGTGATCAAATTAGGAGGCTGAAAGGACAGAGAGGGACGAAGAAGGAAGCTTATAAACATCTGATCCAGCTGACTGTGGCCATATGGCAGCTGCTGCCCAGATAAAGAGATTAAGAATAGAGGAGTGCGATTACAGCTGTCTGGCCAATTCAGGCAGCTCAAATCTACAAGTTCTAAATTAGTCGTGAAAACAAAACCCTTCTTTCAGCTATTGTTGTACTGAAATAAACTTTAACATATTTCAGGAAAAAAATAGGGTGAAACTGACCAAGTTACTTTTAAGGTAGGTGGGATCCTAAAGTTGAACAGACATTCAGGTCCTTTCCCCCCAATAAAACTGG